TATTAAGCTAACTAATTATTCTAATATATATTTTTTTTAAAGTACTAAGATAGAATTAGGCCTATAATAGTATAATAATCTAAAGATATAAAATTAAGAAGACTAATAAGCTTTTAAAGATAGAGATTATTAAAAAGAGAAAAGAGGTATATACCTATAAAAATTACTATACTAATAATTTTATTAATTTTTAAGATATTAGTTCTTTAAAATAATAGTATCTTCTAATCTTTTCTAATATCTATATAGATATAGCTTTAAAATCTACTTCTTCCTTCTTAAACTACTTATAATACTAAAGAAGATAGGTCTTAAGGTAAGAAGAATTATCTATCTACTCCTTACTATAATACTTATAGATTATATATATCTAGAAAGTTAGGAGGGTTCTAAAATATTAATATCTATATAAAATTACCTTACTATTAATAAGATCTTTATTAAAGTTCTTTTTAACTAGATAATTATATAGATTATATCTTCCAGAGCTAGTACTACCTATATTATATTATATTATATTAAATTTAAAGATATATATTTTAACTACTAACTATATTTACTATATTAGTTACTATATTAGTTACTATATTATCTTAGAGGCTCTGGCAGAAAGTTATATAATTAGAAAATCTATATACTCTAATTAGTTAGGTTAGTAAAGCTAGCTTTCTAATTAGCTAAAATAGATATCCACTTTTATCACATGCTTTTTATTATTTATTAGGTAAAAAATAGCAAAATATTTGTCATTTTAATATTTACATGAAAAATTTAAAATGACACCACCCCTAGTCATCTCCATCCAAAGACTTCAAGAGACCATTCAGAGATTGCTTCGAAATGAAGCCACCGTTTAGCTCCATCTAGTTTGATGCTAGTGTCTCTCATTCTTCCTCGCTTAAACCGCATCCACTTCTATCAGGGCCCACTGCCCCATTGTCTGGAGATTCTGGAAAATTGATCATACTTGCCAGGTACCCAATCCATCATAGGTAGGATTATCCTTTTGCGACTTCAGGTACGTCGGGATGACTGACTCTCTCGTTCTTGTAGCATCGGCCAACTCGAATCTAGAACCACCGAGTAATGGTTTCAATCGCCCAAAATTATGATGATTACTTGATAAACAACCGTCCAAAGGCCATCGAGCACTGCCATCGCCGAGCCCACTCCATTCCCCAGGCACGTTCACAAGGGCACCTAGCCGATGTCACCGACCTGCGTACTAATTCCAGTAGTTCGACGCCATATGGAGTTAACGAATTCACCAATCAATAACGGTCTTGTTTAGACTCGAGGATCATGGCTGGTACCTGCATAACTGCATCCATACATGAATGTTATGAAAGTGCACCCACCTGGTTCCTGATACTTAAATCCGGCACCCAACGTCCCTCTCGTGGCGTTGATATTACTTCCTTCCAACGTCTGTCATTCATTTCTTGTCATTCCTTCTCTTCTTTTTTTTTTTTGTTCGTACTTTCAATCCAGCCCAGTTCTAGTCTCCAATGGGCGCCACGCTCCTTTCATTTCTGGCCCTGTCCGGGCTCAGTTACGCTACCTTCGGACCCTCGTGCAAATGCGCAAGTATTCCGCTCCATAGAGAACCAAAGCGAAAGCTGACATCTCAAAGGCACCAGGTGATTCCTGCTGGCCTTCCATCGATACCTGGAATGCCTTGAACTCTTCCGTCTCCGGCAAACTCATTCTCGATACGCCACTTGCCATCTCCTGCTACCCCGGTCCTTACCAGAATGCGGAACAGTGTGCCTATGTGTACTCGCAATGGTACAATTCCACCTTTCAATCTCTCTCTCCAGTCGGTTACATTTACCCGACCGATGACTCGTGTCCTCCTGTCGATCTGAGCTCCGGCGAAACCCCCGGAAAGTGCACCCTGGGCCAAGCCCCAGTGTACACAATCAATGCGACAGAACCAGAGGAGCTGGCAACGGGCATTGCATTTGCGAAAAAGAATAACGTGCGTTTGGTTGTGAGGAACACAGGACATGACATTCTGGGAAAGTATGTATCTGCTCCCGCCGCGCTTCTACGGAAAAGACTGACAGAACAAGGTCGGAGGGATATGGCGCTCTCCAAATCTGGATCAAGTACATTCAGAAGGGTATCACATACCAGGAGAGCTACAAAGCGTCAGATGGGTGTGTCAAGAGTGAATGGACCGGTGCTGCCTTTACCGTCGCTGGAGGTTACGTCTGGCAAGACGTGTATGCCGAAGTCTTCAAGCGCAACTTGACCATCGTTGGTGGCGGCGATCCAGTAAGTCCTTCCGGCTTTCATTTGAGCAGTGCATAGACTGACCCTATAGACCGTCGGTGTCATCGGTGGTTACGCCCAAGGTGGCGGTCATTCACCCGCCAGTCGCGATTACGGTCTCGGTGCCGACCAGATCCTCGAAGCGCAAGTTGTTCTGGCCGATGGCAGCATTGTCACCGCAAACGCTTGCCAGGATTCTGGTCTGTACTTTGCTATCCGTGGCGGTGGCGGAGGCACCTACGGCGTGGTCATCTCCATGACCTTGAAGGCGTATCCCACCCTGCCTGTCGTAGCACAGTCTCTCACCATGACTCCGCTGACCAGCAACACTGGCCCTCTCTTGGATGCTATCACGGATATCTATGGTCAATACCCCGCCCTGTCTGACGCCGGCTACTCTGGCTACGGCACCTGGTCTATCAACGGACCCATGGCCCTCTTTGGCAACCAGACCATTGGCTACGTTCACGCCATTGCAACCATGGGCAAGTCACTAAGCGCCTCCCAGGCCGCTTTCGCGCCCCTGCTGTCCAAGCTGCAGAAATACAACGGCACCTCCCTCTTCATCACCGTCAACTACTACCAGTTCCCCAGCTATCCTGCCTATTACACCGCCATGTCGGGCATGCACCAGTCCGTCGGTTCGGCCAACTCCGCCCTGACCTCTCGCATGTTCGACAAGGGTGCTCTGACTGTGAACCCCACCATCCTCCGCTCCATGATCGGCGCCATCGCTGGCAAGCCCGAGGAGTACACCATCAACAGTTTAGAGATGGTCGGCGGCGGAAAGGTGCTAACCGACGGCTCTGATCCCTACTCCGGCGTGAACCCCGCCTGGCGCTCAACTTACATTGTCAACGTGGTCGCGCGAGGATGGCCCGAAGGCGCGGATGCGGCCACGGCTCAGGCCGTCAAGGACGACATTACATACGTCAAGGGCGGTGCCATGAGACTACTCACGCCGTTCCTGGGCAGCTACATGAATGAGGTGGGTTAGCTCCCTCTTGCGCTATAGAATTCCCACTGACTATGACAGGCTGACCGCAATGACCCTCTTTGGGCCACGGATTTTTTCGGTACCAACTACATCCGCCTCACGCTGATCAAGAAGAAGTATGATCCTGAAGGAGTGTTCTACTGCCCCAAGTGTGTGGGCAGCATGACATATTACCAGAAGAACTTGGATGGGTTGGATTACGGACCGCTTTGCTCTATTGGTTTCTAGAGCACTGTATAGACTGAGGATGTATATATATATCAATCATTAATATTTCTTATATAGTATTATTACCTCAATAAGATAATTGTTCATAGCGTCGATTTCACGTGGTCGTTCGATTAACAGCTCCATCCCTTCTGGGGTGTTTTATCCCATAGACACCTGATCGCTCAACGGAGGTTACTGCTGTCCCTCAAATGCCAGCTCCAGGCTCGGCTTGAGGCCCTCATGTCGCGTTTCAGTTTCAGCATTGCAGTGCGTCCCATGAGGTGGTTTTAATCATTGCCCAATCCGACGCTCGAGAACATCCCGATGGTAACTCCCATTAGAATACATCAACGCTAGGAGAATCTCCAACTCAGACCGTTTACCAAACTCACCATGACCAGCTATGTGAGATGCACAGTACGTTGCAAATGGCCAAGATGACTCTATCGACTCTCCTTGCTTCTACTTGCCAGTTCCAGAACCAGGTCTATATCCCATAATCGGTGGTAGCCTCATCCACTTGACGAGAGTCGACTCCATGGACTGAGACAGACACAAGAGCAACCATGTCTAGGTGTGTATCTCATCCGTACCTTTGGTGATTCAGCGTAAGCACGGTTCTAGGTTTCTGGTGATTATATAGCTCAGCGTTCCGAGGATCTGTATGAGGTAGACATCAGGGTGAAAGCGTACGGCAGCAATGGCGCAAGTTCAAAGGAAGGATCTAGAAACGAGATTATAAGATTAGTTCCGAAGCTCATGAAGCGAAGACTAGGAATCTGGTAGGACACTTAGTGAGATAACGGTCGTAGCTTGCATAAGGCAACAAGTCTGTTGCTCTTTGAGGGGCCAGAAACGATATATTGACTTTGCATTTTGTAGGCATATGCTTGAAAAGGATGAGTCGGTTGATGCAAAGTTGGCATCAATCAACAGTCAAGGCAACCTTTGCAGTCTCTCATCTGCGAAAGAACTAAAGAACAGTCAGTAAAAAATAGTTAAACTTTCTATAAATCCTTACATAGGGGTAGTGTGAATGTGTGAATGTGTGGGATAAAAACAAGGGCCAAAACAAGCAACGCTGCTGATGTTGGTCTCTTGTTTCTGTTGAAGCGCCCAGACAGAGGCAGACTTGACCAAGTATAAGGTTATACTACAATCTACTCCGAGCACAATGAATCAAAAGGTGGAAGATAAGGTCATAAGTTCATTAATCTACTTTCAGAAGGCCGAAGTAGACAGTGACAAAGTGTAAAGTCAGTAAATGATCAATCTTCATCCCCCAAATTCAACCACCCATAGAACATCAAGCCACCAAAGACGATCCAGTCATCCCCCGAGCGACGTTAACCATGAGTGAAAAACCGGGAGAGAAGCACTGTGTCGATGTCGAAAAGACAGACAAGGTAAGTTCATTGCATCTGCACATCCATGTTAGCAAGAAGTCGTCATGTCAGTGAAGAGAAGAAAGCTCACCAGCAACAACCACTTGTTTTCAGCGAGCTGACAGAACTCCTCACTTGGGAGGCTCAGCAAGGCAAATGCCATGGTAGCAGTAGCCAACACCTGGACCGCAATCGGAGTTCTTGTGGCACACAGGATCGGCTTCTTCGCCGCGAGGAACAACGGGAGGATCAGCGACACAGATGCCATGATAGCAGTAACCCACACCGGGACCACAGTCGGAGTTCTTGTGGCAGACGGGATCAGTCTGTTCATCACGGGCAAGCATGGGAGGGTCAGCGACACAGATGCCATGGTAACAGTAGCCAACGCCAGGACCACAGTCGGAATTCTTGTGGCAGACAGGGTCGGCCGACACTTCACGAGCATCCTTGGGAGGGTCAGCGACACAGATGCCATGGTAACAGTAACCAACACCTGGACCGCAGTCGGAGTTCTTGTGGCACACGGGGTCGGCAGCTTCGTCACGAGAGGTAAGCTTGGGAGGTTCCGCAAGACAAATGCCATGATAGCAGTAACCAACGCCAGGGCCGCAGTCAGAGTCCTTGTGGCAAGCGGGATCCGCAGGTTCAGAAGTCTGAACAAGGGTGGCAAGATTCTTGTCCGCAGTGTTTGAGGCGGGACCCTCTCCAATGCCCCAATGGCAAATACCAGCAATGCAAAGGCCATTGAAGCAATCTTTGTTAGTACCGCAAGGAACGACAGAAGCATCATCTCGAGTGAGCTTAGGAGGGTCGGCCACGCAGATTCCCTTGTAGCA